AAGCTGGTGTAACGTATCTGCTCCTTTGCCTTGTTGAGGAGTCAATGTCTGCAAGTTCGCTGGGCGGCAGTAGGATTCCAGGAGTCAGGCAGTCCCCAGCCTTTGTGCATGAGGACAGTTCATGGGAGAGGGTTTCCCAGGGCCTGGCGGTGAGGTGGGAAGGCAAGCGATGGGGAGCAAGCTCCAACACACAGAGGAAGCTTCGCTCACTCAGGCCACTCACCTCCGCTGTGCGGCCCCTTCCTAAACAAGACCAGCTCCGGTCCTGGCGGCTGTTGGGGACCGCAGCAGTGGTTAATGTCACTCACCCTGGGCTCAGTTTAGCTTTTTGGATTCTAACTCTTGGTCTGCCACTTACCCTCTCTTGAACCCTGTGTCTTATCTGCAAAAACATTTTGGCCTCAGAGACTTGTGAGAGGAAATGAGACAAAGCGTGTTCAGCTCTAATCATAGCCAGTGACGCACGAAGTGACCTTACTAACACTGCCCAAGACCTTACTAGGAGCCAAACTCTCTTGCAAGCATTTTAAACGCATTGCCTGCATTTAATCCCATAACAGCTTCTGTGACACCAGTCCTATTAATATCCCATTTTACAGATGAGGAAACCAAAGCACATGGAATGGAAGTAATTTGGCAAAGTTAGGTGGCTACCAAAATTTGGAGACCACTAGCCTGACTCCAGATTTCTCTTTGTTTGTTTTATAAGGAATCCCTACTCAGAAATCCTATGTTCTCAGCTGTTCAGAAAATGGTAACAATATCATTATTACAGAGTGATGGGAGCATTAGTGTCTTCAGTTTAGACGGACTTCTGGAGACTGTCCTTGATCCCAAAGTCCAGGACCCCTGGGTGCAGGGATGCTTTCTAGAGGTACATTTGAAAGAACAGGAGCGAGAGAATTGACATCCTGAAAGGGGCTGTTCTTTCCATGGGGTGAGGGAAGGTCCCTTAGGCTGCCCAGATTCCATTTCTATAAGCCCCTCCTAAGAAGTGTAGACCTTGGACTCTCCCCGCCCGCGCCCGCCCTTCCAATAAAACGATCTTCCACTTTAGGGGCCTGAAAGTGGCAATCACCTAAGTCAGGGTCCTGCGTTCCACAGATGGGGTCTTCCAAACTCTTCCTTCCTCTCCTAACCTGGACTGGGACTAAGATGGTGGAAAGCAACCGGATCTACAATTTGTTCCTCTTTCTCCTCCAGCAAACTCTCCTTCCCCAGGCCAAGGCTTTGAGGCCAGGGCAACTTTACTGGGAAAGAGCCAGTCGGTCAGACCAGATCCCTGGACATCTGTGACGAGGATGCATAGCACCAGGAGGCTCAAAAGTCCGGAATATTCCATTGTAAGACAGACCTGCCTGTCTGGTGGTTCTAGAACTTGGAAATGGCTGGCTGCCTTGGCCCTGCCTATTCCTTCAGTAGCCAGCGCCTCAGGTATAAGAACTGGACACAAGCCAGCCACCCCCTTCCGTTTGTCCCTGACAGTGTGTCTCTGCCAGTCTCTTGGTAACTCGTTGTTTCTCTGGGACGCTTTGTGCCTATATCTAACTTTTTCTCTTTTTCTCTGGGTCTCCCACGGTTTCTGTGTTCCTTCCTCCCTCTCCCGCAGTTTCCTCCCATCCTTCTCCCTTTTATCTTCTCTTTGGGTCACTCGTGTTCTCTGACTGAGACCAAAGGTTAAAGATGCTGCCACCGAATGGGGGGTGGAGGAAGAATCGGGCTGACTACAGAGTCTTCAGCCACCGTTTCTCAAGCCACGTTGCTGTGAGGGCAGCAGAGAAGCTCCTCAGAGCTGACAGGAGAGCCTCTGCCTTCTGCCGCAAACTCCTCGTTGTCTGAGGAGGAACCGAGGGGTGAAGGGAACTGTCCAAGGGACTGCAACCGAATTAAGCCCAGTAACACTGAGAGTTTCTGGGGTCTAACTGGGCTGGTGGAAGAGCCACAGAGAGAGAGTGCGGGTGGCCTTGGGCAGCGTCCTGCAGCCACAGAATCCACAGCACCAGCCCCTCAGTCGTCGGGTTGTGGGGAGCCGCTCTTCCCAGAGTAAATGTTATCTTCACGGCCCCCATTTCCTTCCCTAACTAGGTGACACCCTTTTGGGACGAGCTTTATTCTCCAAATTTTCCTACTTGACAGACAGAAGCCATCCTTATCATCATGGCCACAACATTTGGGGTCACAGACAGAGCCCCCATGGGATCCCATCCCGCCAGCTTCTCAGTCTCCCTCAGTGAAGATTCCAGGAGGGCTGGGGCAGATCTCCTGAGGCGTCTCCGCGGCGCCCGGAGCAGTGCTGTCCTCTCACGCTCCCTCCTGTCTTCTCCCACACGCGGCCCAGGGCAGAGCGAGACCCAGAGTGACCGTGGGGAAGGGCTGTGAGGGTCCGTCAAGCCCCATTTTCTCATTTTATAGAAGGGATCATAGGCCAGCAAAGTGAGGTTGCTGACTGCATGTCACCCGGCGATGAGTGTCAGAGGTGAGGTTGAGGGAGCTGAGCATATCAGCTCTCGCCACAGTTCACTGGGGAAGCTTCTGCTATCCGTGTGGCTATAATACTGATATTTCACTGTGGAGTTGAAGGTGGTGAGGAATGGTGAGTTCAAAAGGGATGAAGAACCATGGAGACCGTGTCCACCCTGTGAGCATGGACCCCTGGCCGTCACCCTGCTGCTCCGCCACTGGTGCACACCCACGGCCCAGCTCAGCACGGATGACAATATTGTCACACTCATCGTTGACAGTGGCTCCGGGGCGTGATGGTGGACATGGACCTCAAGGACTCCTATGTGGGCAGTGAGGCCTGGAGCAGGAGGGGCATCCTGACCCTGAAGCACTCCATGGAACATGACATTGTCACCAACTGGGAGCACATGAACAAGTACTGGCACCACACCTTCTACAGCAAGCTGCATGTGACTTCCAAGGAGCACCTCGTGCTGCTGACCTAGGCCCCCCTAAACTCCAAAGCCAACTGAGAGAACTTGATCCAGATCATGTTTGAGACCTTCAACACCCCAGCTATGTAGGTGGCCATCCAGGCAGGGCTGTCCCTCTATGCCTCTGGCTGTACCACTGGCATCATGATAGACCCTGATGACAGGGTCACCCACACTGTGCCCATCAACAAGGGCTATGCCCTCCCTCCTCTGCCCTCATCCTGCATCTAGACCTGGCTGCCCAGGACCTGACCAACTACCTGATGAAGATCCTCAGGGAGCCTGGCTACAGCTCCACCACCGGGGCCAGGTGGGAAATTTTGTGTGACATCAAGGAGAAACTGTGCTAGGAGGCCCTGGACTTTGAGCAGGAGAGGGCCACCACCGCCTCCAGATCCTCCCCGGAAAAGAGCTAAGTGCTACCCACTGGTCAGGTGATCACCGTCGGCAGCCAGCAGTTCTGCTTCTCTGAGGCTCCTTGCCAGCCCTCCTTACTGGGCGTGGGATCCTGTGGCATCCGTGACACTACCTGCAACTCCATCATGAAGTGTGACACAGGCATCTGCAAGGACCTGTGTGCCGACACAGTGCTGTCTGGCGGCATGACCAGGTACCCAGACACCAACAACAGAACGCAGAAGATGATCACCGCTCTGGCTCCCAGCACAATGGAGACCAAGATCGTCGCTCCCCAGAACACAAGTACTCCATGTGGATTGGTGGCTCCATCCTGGCCTTGCTGTCCGCATTCCAGCAGATGTGGATCAGCAAGCAGGAGGACGAGGAGTCTGCCCCTCCACCACCCTCCACCACGGATTCTAGGCAGGCTGTTCCCTAGCTGCATTTGCTACACGCCTTCTTGATAAAACCTCACTTGCTCAGAAAACAAGATGAGATCCGCATGGGTTTCTTTGGTTTTGTTTGTTTGGTTTGGTTTGGTTTGGTTTTTGGTTTTTTATTTTTGGTTTGACTCAGGATTTAAAAACCAGAATGCTGAAGGCACAGCAGTTGGAGCTGACATCCCCAAAGTTCGACAGTGTTTGGCCAAGGGCATTCTATGTTGTTGTTTTATTAAACAGTCATTCCAAATGTCGTGATATGCATTGTTACAGGAAGTCCCTGGTCCTCTGAAAAGCATCCCCTTCTCTCTAAGGAGAATGGTCCAGTCTTCTACCGAGTCCACACAAGGGAGGTGACAGCACTCCTTTTGTGTAATTTATGTAATGCAAATTCTTAAAATCTTTGGCTAATACTTTTTTAAAAGGCAAAAGATTTATACACTCTGAAGACAAACCAGAGTGATACTTTTTAACTTTGGTTTATTTTGAATGATCAGCTATTGTGGCCTCCTATCTGTCCCCCAACTTGAGATGTTGGAAGGCCTCAGGCTCCCTGGGAGCAGGTGGCGGTGTGGAGGCAGCCAGGGCTTACCGGTACACAGACTCAAGATTACTTCAGTAAAAGTGCACACCTTAAAAAAAGGAGGGTTGGGGGAGAAGAAGGCGATGTAATTAGTGGAAACAGAAGCTCAAGACTCACAGAGTCAGTAAATGGTTCCCAGGGACCCAATTACAGTTGCTTTTTTTTTTTTTTTTTTTTGAGACGAGTCTCACTCTGTCACCCTGGGTAGAGTGCAGTGCTGTCATCATGGCTCACTACAACCTCAAACTCCTGGGCTCAAACAATCCTCCTGCCTCAGTCTCCCAAGTAGCTGGGACTACAGGTGCCCACCACCACACCCAGCTAATTTTTCTATTTTTTAGTAGAGATGGGGCCTCACTGTTGCTCAGGCTGGTCGTGAACTCCTGACCTCAAGTGATCCTCACTCCTCGGCCTCCCACAGTGCTAGTATTACAGGTGTGAGCCACTGCACCCAGCCTGGGTGCATTCTTTTCTAAATTTTCTTGAAAATAAATTGAAACTCTTTCTGGTTGTTTCATCCTATTCTGTCCTGCCTAATTTTCAGGCCCAGCAAAGGGTCTTACTTCCCAAGCAGCTGGAACTAGATTTATGTCTTTGAAGCCTGGGGCACATCATCGTGTTGGCCCTTCTGTCACCTAATCTCTTATAGAAGGCTGGGCAGCGACCCACCTGGGTGTTTGCCTGTCTGTACCTCATCTCTTCTCATTGAGAGTCTTGGTGCCCTACCTCTGCCCCAGTGCCACTTCTGTTCTAGGACCAATCCTGTGCTCAGAACGGGGGACTCCAAGCAGAACCAAGGAGACTGGCCTCTATCTGGCTACTCTTGCTTTGGAATTAGACCAAGATCTGTCTCATGGCCTGGGTTCCTGTCACTGGCTTTCTCTGTTGTTCTCTGTGCCTCTAACTGTATTGCCAAGTGGCATGTTTGCTTCCCCCTGTGGGCTTTGAGCTCCATTAAACAAAGCTGTGCCTAGAACCTAGTACTTAGAACATGAATTGGCCCAGAGGAAACAGTACATCCTGCTAGGTGAGCAAGGTAGGTGGAGGGATCAATAGGTGTGTGTATAGGTAGGTGAATATATGGATGGATGGGCAGCTGATAGAGTCATGAGGGGAGGATAGTTGAATGAGTAGGAAGGTGGATGGGTGAGGGAAGCATGGATATTTGGGGGCATGAATGCACAGATTATGGATAGGTGGATGACTGGTTGGCTGGAGGCGTGGATTCAGTTGAATATAAGAATCGATACTTTCGTGATGGGACAGTGGACCTATTGATGGAGGCTGTTTGAAGGGAAGATGCATGAGTGGATTGTTGTGTGGATGGAGGCAGATAGGTGTAAAAATCATGGAAAAGTATGTTGATGGGTATAAAGTAATTTGTGTGAGAGAGAGAGAAAGAGAAAGGGAGAGAGGTAAATGATACGCAGGTGGATTAAAGACTGGATGTAAAATGGGCGATTAGGTAAATAGAGGAATATGAGTAAGAAGGATAAGTGGATGGACACATGGGTAGGGAAATAGATAAATTGAAAGGTGTGTCATGGATGGATAGGTGAGTGGGGATTGGGTACTTGGATGGATGGGAAGGGAATGGGTAGATTAGTAAGTGGATTACATGGTTAGTGGGTACGTGGGTGGGTAGAAACATGAATATATGAGTGAAAATATGAACCAAAATTAAAGACATGAAAAGAATCACATAGAGAGCAATTTATACTACTCCAAAGTAATATAGGGAATAGAGGGAAAATTGATCATATTTAGCAAAATATAAAAGACCTTAATTCACAGAAGAGGGCATAGAGAACATGTATAGACTATAAGATGAAATATTTAAAATTTACTAAAATAGATCACTATAGAAGGAACATGACCTAGATGCTTTGGGAGCTGCATTTTGTGTAGCCTTCAACAAACAGAGACTTGTTATATCATTAAAATATTCCAGATCATAGAAAAAGTGGGTACGTTTCCCGATTATTTTCCCATGCTAGTTTTATGAAAATCATGTGACCCAAATAGCAAAACAAACAAAAAATTTTAACCTACTTTTCTTTAGACTATAGATATGAAAATTGTAAATAAACTATTTGCTAAATAAAACCTACAGTGTATTGATACAAGTATACCATCAATGTGATTAACGTTATTCTAACAAGGCAAGGATGGTTCAACATATGAAAATTAATGTAGGTTATTAAGCCAACATATTGGAAGAGAAAAATCATCATATGACTAAATGCTTAAAAATATTTGATAAAATTCAGCAATCATTTTCAATAGCATAAACTAAATGCATAAAATCTATTTATCTCAAATCCAACAACAAATGTCTTTTTATACTACTGCAATAGCTACTGACTTGAAAATAAGGAACTAGACATAGATAGTTGCTATTGCCTTTATTTTCAACTTTATTTGAGACATTCTACATAAGAAGACAAGAATATAAGGTCATGAAGTTGGGTCAAATGTATCATTATTTTCAGGTGTTATGAATATATATAATCAAAGTAACCCTATTAAATACTGTTGTTATACTTACTGAGACAATTTGGCCAGATCGTTGGATACAAGACAAAACTAATAGCTTTTCATCATGCTACTCATAATTAATTATTTTGATGATAGTATTTTCTACTTACTGTTCAAATTCTGGGTTCCATGCATTTCAGTCCACAATCTGTGCAGCACTTTTCTGCCAATGGGCAGTCATTATCCTGCAGGCACTTGGGTTTATTAATCACGGGACACACCAAGGGCATGCGTGGGCAGAAACCTGCTTTGACTTCATAGGGTAAAATAAGATACTTGATGTTGAAATACTTGGTGATAATTTGAGACAAATTTGGGGAATCTTGGGACTCTCGAACAGGGTTTTATACTGATTATGCTTCTTACCCTTTCCTCCACACTAACAATAGACTGGAGGACGTGGAGTACCAACTTTCTATGGCTAATAACTTGAAGAGTATCAAAAACGCCTTGCCTTCTCTGATTTATGCAATATAATAGGATACCTGCCTGCTCCTACAGAATTAATACCTTGGCGTTATAGAATCCCAGAATACCAGAGGTGGAAGGAGTATCAGGAAGCACCCAGAACTTTCTTGTTTAATGAATTGTAGGAATCGAGGACCATGTGGGAGAAATGAGTTGCCTAAGGCCACAAAGAATGCAAATAAAAAAGTTGAAATCTGTTGGAAAGCCTTTAACTCTTGCTACCATAACATGGTGTACCTTAAAACACCATAAAACCATAACATGGTGTACCTGACAATCCCTGGGACTACCTGTGGGAATAAACAGCAGCTTAGAGTTGGCTTCTACTCCAAGAGCATTTGCTACCAATCTTTTCCCCAGGCCACCTTACAGGATATGACTGTGATGCTCATGCTCTGAAGTTCTATGCAGACATGAGAGCTTATTAGGAACATACCTAATGGTTATACAATTCTTTTTATGAATCAGTGGGCATTGTCACCTTGCAGGTCATTGAGGAATGAGACTCAGAACAAGTAAGTTTTCTTGGGAAAGGATGGAGAGTGATGACTGGCTTTGAAGAACAGCACAATAGTCTTCAGAGGTCAAGAGGTGAACATAGGGGCACTGGCTGGGTATTAAAAGGGCAAAGGTTCCCAAGGTTCCTCAAAGGTCAACCCAATGGGAATCTGAGGTTCAAGACACCCCCATTCCATGGGACAACACGGCATCCTTGGCATATGCCCAGTGCACTTGGGCAGGTATATCCCCATTCCTCACCTGTCCAGGCCTTGGCACAAACAAAGCCACACGTGGATTCACAACACTTGTTGGACTCGGGGCAATCAGCGTCACTCCTGCACCAAGGTGGACACTCCATACGGGAAGCAAGAGGAAAGAGTGGGCACTGTCCTGCCTTGACTGAAACAGAGCAGATGTGAGTTTCTTCAAAGCCCACCCCATCTCACCACCCTTCAAACAGCTTTTCCTTCTCTTCGAAGCTAGTACTTCTTTCTGCAACTTGGTTCATCCCACCCTATCCATTCTTAGAAATATCCAAGAATGACATTTCCTCACCATATCATGGGCTATGGTAGAGACAGTGCTGGGTTTCGTGCCCGAAGCCCCAAAGTAAAGTCCCAGTTCTTCCACTTAATGAGTAACTTCAGTTTCCTTCTCTGTAAAATAGGGGTAATCATCTGAAGTCTACACAAATCAATGCAAGCTATTGTAGGATATTTGGTTTTACTTTGAATGAAGTGGGGAGCCATTGCAGTGTTCTCAGTGGAGGAGCAACATGGTCTGACCCATGTTTTAAAAAGGTCATTGTGGCTACTGTATTCATGATAGACTGCATGAAAGATGGAAGCAGGGAGACCTCTGAGGAGGCTGCTGCAGCAATCCAGGTGAGAAGACAAAGCCTCAGATCAGGGTGGCAGCTGCAGAGGTGGTAAGAAGTGGTCATATTCAGGATCCACTTTCAAGGTAGAACTAAAATTATGTCCTGACTTCATGGATGTTAAGTGAGAAAAAGGGGATTGAATGTGGTTTTGAAGTGTTTTCAACCTATTAATAGGTGAGGAGGAGTATGACTAGAGCAAATTTGGGGTAGGGGAAGGAAGGTAAGTGATTCCATTTTAGACAAGTGAAGAGTGGGTCAGTATGACTCAGATGGTATTTAAATCAATCCCTTGGGATTTTGTTCATGTCTGCTGTTGTCCTTATCTGATTACAAACTCTGTGAGGGCTTCCCAGGAAATTCTTCTTCAAGTCAGGCGCAGGCCATGGCATGCTTGACTCTCAGATTGTCTCTGTGTCCCAACCTAAATTTTGCACAAACCAGCCCAGGCCCTTTTCCCTGGCTCGGTCTTCCCGATGCTCCCGGAAGAGAAGACCGAGGCCTCGTCCACAGCACTGCTAGTCCTCAGACCTCCCACAAAGGGAAGCCTGTGGTCTCTGTTTCCTCAAGTCAGGCGGCAGGATTGCCACTGGGCCCATGAAATTAAAACTCCAGCTCTACTTCTGACCGACCGTGGGTGCTCAGGCACCTAACCTCACCTCCCTGTCTCTATTTCCTTAGCTGTAAAGCGGTAGTGCTGGTCCATCTTTCAGCGTGCCTGGCAGAACCTGAGGTTGACGTTTCAACGCTGCCTCGTGCCTCACACAGTGCTGCACTTCGAAGAGCAATGGTCACCACCTCAATTGTTACCATGTGGTCAACACACACCACTGGGCGGCGACCAAGTCTAGGCTTTGTGTGTTGTTGATCCCATATACTCCTACCAACCACACAAGGAGGTGTTTGCTATTATTCTAGTATAACAGGGGAGGGAACTGAAACTCAGAGAGGTGAAGAAACCTGCAGTAAGTGGGAAAGGTCAGATTGTAATTCAGCTCATTTGACCTGAAGTGCTATAGGACGCTATCTCCCAACATTGCTGGTGATCATTATACTAAGGAAGGAATCCACAACCTTTCCGTCCACCCCATCCTACTCTCCACCGCTAGTGTCTACACTTACTCCATGGGATTCCAGAGCTGGCTTTTGTATGGTTCATTCCTGGGTAAATCCTCAGGATGATGCTCAACAGGTTGATATGATGTGGAAACATCTTCCAAGGGAGTAGAACTGGCTTTCAGGTCCCAATGCCCAACATTTATTAACACTTGATATATATACTGTGTCATTTTTTTTTTGGCAGAACAATTCTATAGGTAAATACTATTATTATCTTCATTTTATAGAAAAAAAAATTGAAACTCACAAAGGCAGACAACTGGCCCAGGACCTCCTGGCCAGTGAATGACAGAGCTAAGACTTGAACCAAGAAAATTTAACCTCAATGTCTGAGCCTATAACCTCCCTGGTATACTATTTCTAGTTAAACTAGGCCCTCCGACTTCCAGGATATGGGTCTCACCAGCTGACGTGCAGGCTTTCGTGCAGTCATCAAAGCTCAAGAAGTTGTTCGCATTCCCAAAGCAGCCCCTATATATAAAAGATTTGCAGCTACCTCTGTCAAAGTCAAAATACCAGCGCAGTAGTCTAAGCTTACATATTCCTTCTTTCAAGGGCTGTGCACAGGGCTCTGAGGACAGGAAAAAAAGAGGGAAGAACATAAAAGGTAGAGATAAAAGAAGGAGGTCAGGTCCCCAGGCATTGTCATAATTCATGGTATTATCATCCAAGTCATATAAAGGGGCACAGTAAAAAAAAAAGAAAGAAAGGCTGGGTTCTAATCCCAGTTCTACCATTGATACTCTACAAAGTACAGCACCTCCTAGAATCACTTCTTCATTGCAAACAATATTATTAAGAGAATATAAGAATATTGTCCTTTGGAGCTGATCTTTCTTCTCCATTACTCGGAGCTTCAGGAGGAAAAGACCCTTGTTGGACATAAAAAGTCAGCTAAGATCACTCTGAGATCAGGATAAAGTGAGACAAAAACAAGGTCACTGTGAAACCTACAAGATACCAAACACCTCCCTCTCCCAGATCACATGGGTGACTTATACTTCTCTGCCAACTAGAGCTTTACCTCCACTCGAGTCTGTCCTCCGTATACTTAAGATTCACTGGGACACCCAGTCATAGAATTTTCCCACTTTCTGATAGATACAATCTAGAGCAAGCCCTCACTCTTTAGACCCTTCCCCAAATTCTCCAGTCAAAACCCAAATCCTATAATAGATTCTTTCTAACAGCTTCTTACCGAGATGCCTCATGGTTGTCTATGGTGAACATTCTCCCGCATTGCAACAAGGAATAAACCCAACTTGTTCAACTGCAGGTGTGTTCCTGCTGGTCTTTGTCCAAAGGACATTGACAATAGATATTTGTTGAATAAGTGAATGATGAATGAGTAAATGAAAGAATCTTTACAAAGCACACAGTCTCTTGAGTTACCAGAAAAACTCCTCGAATGCCAAAGAGTCCCCAAATGACCCCAGCATCTAAACTGACTGAGGTTTGATTTGGCCACAATGCCCACAGGAGTCTCTTGATGCAGAGTGAGCATGCAACAGGTCTTAGTTATTTTTGAATGACTGAATGTTCACCAAACAAGACTCACATTAATATTATCTCATTGGTGGCCACCATGTCCAGACTGATGGGCTGTCCTCAAGGGTTGGGAGTTGAACAAGAGAATGAGAAAAGTGTGAGCCCTGGCCTCTTTGTCCTGCCATCCCGCCAGTTTTGGGCAGAGCAAGAAGAGGGAAACTTCAAAAGGCAACTTGGCCCTCAACCTGGATGCCACTACCTTGGTAGGGATCCAAGCACATGTTCCTACAGGCAAACCTGCAGCACTTCAGGTGTCCAGCGCAGTCGAGATCAATTTCGCAAAAGTCCAGAATGTTAGCTTCACAAGTAATCCTTTCTCTGGGGCACACTCCTGGTTTCCCTGCAAGAAATAAATGTCCACACTCACATCCCTTGAGACTTTCAGCTCTTCTCCCCCGGCAAAGGGGAGTATGAAATTCTCTCAGCCCCACCATCTGCTTTCAGTTCTTGGTTCTTGATCTGCTTATATTTAGGGCCAGGTCTGTCTCTTAGCACTCTTAGCCATTCAGATGGATCTGAATCAAGAATTAGTGCCCACGTGGAACGGAAGGAGAAGGATCTTCGATTCCAAGGCAAGGGGTTAGGTAAGGACCTAGACCCTTGCCTTAAACTTAGGAGCTCCCCTGTCTTTTTGAAACTTAATATTTTGCTGCATAACCCCTTCTTCTTCAGTATCTTGGTTGATAGGGGAGATTAGTAAGGAGTGGTGGAAACATCATGGAAATAGAAGTCAGGAGGCCTAACTTTGGCGCTTGGCTCCTGGTAAACACAAGACCAATCTGAGTTCAACCGTATGACATCTAGGTTCCCTCTAAGGGGGGAAGGAATGGTAGAGTGGAAGGAGAACTACAGTCAGACAGATCTGCCTTGGGACCCTGGCTCCAATACTCGCTAGCTAAATAATGATGGGAGAGTATCTTCCTTTGTCTGAGTCATAAATTTTCCACCTTTAAAATGAGAATAACAATCCCTAATTACAGACTGCTTATAACAGTCTAGAGAGATGATGTCCATAATGCACTTATCACAGAAGATTCCCATCTTCCGGTTATTGAATCAAACACTAATCTTGATACTGGTGTGAAGGGATTTTTGCAGAAAAACTAAAGGCCCAAGCCAGTTGACCTTAAGATCAGAGAATCAACAAGTGGGCCAGGCCCAATCAATTGGATCCTTTCAAAGCAGAGTTTTCTTCTGATTGGCAGAGAAGAAGAGGTCAGAGAGATTTAAACTGTGAGAAGGATCCAACCAGTAACTTTGAAGATGGCCTAGGCCAAGTGCTAAGGAATGAGGGTGACCCCTAGAAGGGACAGCAGGGCTGGGAGCCTCAGTCCTACAACTTCAAGGAAATGATTCTGCTAATAAGCAGTGATCTTAGAAGAAGACACTATGTCCCAAAGGAGAACTACATCTTTGGCTGACACTTTGACCTCAGCCTGGTGAGAACCTGAGCAAAGAACTCAGATGCACCATGCCAGACGTCTAATCTGCAGACAATTTGTTACACAGCAACACATAGACAATACAGAGCTTCATGTGGCTTCGTGACTCTAAACTGGGTATCTCTCCAGTGGAAGTTGACCAGAGAGGCATGATCGTCTTGGATAGTACTGAATCTGAGAATTATAGAACTTTAGAATTGCAAGTACCATGTTTTTCATGAGCACCAACCTAATTTCACAGGTTTATAAAAATGAGGTCAGATAGGACAATACAGTGAATTAGGGGCAGGTCTGGAACTTACAATCCGGGACTCAATTCAGAAGCCACACGTCTTCCCTGAAGACCAGCTATTGAGAATTTTGGTACTTTCCAGCTATAACTTTTAACCTTCGTGGCACCCTTAATGCACCTTCCAAGTATGGCTTGAGGCTAAGAAGAGTATATGGCTCCTAATTTGGAGCATACATCAAAATCATCTGTGCATCTTCAAAAACATGTAGACTCTTGACTGAATAAGAATCTCTAGAAAGAGAGGCCTAAGGACCCCGCTTTTAAAAAGAACCACAGGCAATCCTGAAGCAGGCAGCTGGGCACCAGGATGTAGGCTTCTACTTGGGAACCATTGTTCCAAGGTTTGGGAACAGGGAGAGTTCATAAAATCCAACAGGGACACCTCCAAAGGGGTAAAGAGGCGCAGAAAGGGAATCTTTGGCTTGTGAAGAGGAACCAACCCTCACTAGTATTGATTCCAGCTTACCTCCTGCTTCCAGGAGCCATTTAAACCTTTGGTTGATTTTCAATAATTGTACCTCCTTCCTCATCCTCAGCTTGAACTCTCTCTTAAAACCCTCCTTCCTCCCTGGTCGGCTTTCCTCAGCCACTTGCCTTGTGTGTGTATCGCCTCCTTCCTGAACACCGCAGGGGCCTCTGCATCTACTGCGCAGTTCTGGCCACATCTGTCTCCTGACCCTACCTGGCGCATACTCCCTGGGGATCACATCTGTTCCCACGCTCTCCACTGTGATTTCCACATCACCCTCCGGACACAGCCTCCATTCCAGACTAAAGGCCCCATTTCCAACTGCCTGGGAAAGACAGTATTTGGGCACCTCGTGAGCACCCCTGTTCTAACATGTTCAAGACAGAAGTAGTATCTCCTTATGCCTAGGCAGCTCCTCCTCTCTGGTCCCCGTCCTGGTATTTGGCATCGACAGGTCCAGTCTGGTACTAGAATCCAGAGATTCTTTCCTCTCTCTCTGCCAGCCCAGCATCCTATCAGTCATGAGCTTCAGTCCATTCTATCTTCAAAATCTCCCTCCCAGCCCCTCTCCTCTCCCTCCCACTACCACCCCCGCACCCCGCAGAGCAGCACCTGAACTCATCCTCCTCTTTCCTGGACTCTGGAAACAGTCTCCTCACTGGTCCTCCCCCTAAGGTTCATGCCTGATGACTCATTAATTGAAAAAAAATTAAACTTGGAAAAAACACATAAGAGAAAAGTTAGAGAAATAATTTGTGGGGGCAGGTGAGGGAGGATTTGGAGGGTCAGCGTGGGGAGCAGGGCAGCTGTCTGTCCACGGTAGAGGCGGCCTCACCTCACGCTAGTCCTGGCCTCTGTCTTGCCCTCCAGCCCCAAGAACGCCTCCCACGGAAGAACGGCTGGGGCTGTCTTGAACCCACCTTTGGTCTGTGCACCCAGCGATGCAGAGGTCTTCCCCAAAGAGAGGGAGAGAAGCAGCAGGAAAATTACACCCCTCCAGGACAGGCTGCAGGTGTGGAGGGAAAGGAGCCTGTAGAAACGAGAAGAAGAGGGGCAGGAGTTAGGTATAATCTAAAGACAAAATGTGTGCAGAGGAAACTTAGCAATGACCCACCAGATTCCTTTAGTTCACAGACAAGAAAACGGATGCTCAGAATGTGGCTGGGATTTGTCTGGGGTCAGATCTAGGACGGGGTAGGTGTAGGACAATCAGTTCCAGGACCTGCCCCATTGCCCCATACTGTGCCACGGCCTTTCTCCTACCCAGACACGTGCGTGCTGGCTCACTGCCAGGTACAAGGCCACACTTGAATGATCACAGAAATGTGTTTGGAACGGTTGCAGGGCTGGTTTGCCCACAGTCACTCCAGTTGCAGCCCCAGACTCCAGTGAGCATCTTTTCTTTGTTCCACTGATGACAGAAAGGGATGGTACGAGGTTTTCCAGAGGGCCAGGGCAGACCCTACTGGATCTTGGTGCCACAGAAGCGGAAAACGATCCCAGATGACCCTCGGTTAACCAAGAGATTCCTCTTAGTCTTCTGTTGCTACCCAAGCCTAGGATCTTACGATAGTCCCAGACACACTAAACAGGTGGTCTCACGCTCACTCAGACCCCCATCGTCTCTACATCTCTTCACGACCCTTACATAGTTTTTATTTTAAGTTGTGAGGAATGAATAATGCTTTACTGTATTAACTCTCAGAGTAAATGCATTTCAAAACAGCAGGGGGTGGGAGAAAAAGGAAGGGAGCCAGGGAGGGAGGGAGGGAGCGAGCATTTATGCGGCTGCCTAAAAGTAAAGACTTGTGGCAATTCACCCCCTTCTCCTTTTGATTTTGGTCCTGGCTTGGTCACTATAGCTGCAGCATATCTGGGATCCTCAGTTTCCTCATTTGGAAAATAGGAATAAAACCACCAACCTGGTAGAAAACTTAGTTTGAAGTTAGACCTGAATTCACACCTTGGATCCACCACCTCCCACCCCGTGGTCTTGGCTCAGCCCCTCAAGCTCACTGAGGTTTGTCATAAAGGAAATAACAACACCTACCTTGTAGACATCAGAATTAATTGAACTATTGTTGTAAAGCATGGTGACTGGCTTATAATCAGTGCTTAATACATTCTATCCAGCTAACAAATAATAATAATTTAGTGAATGCCAAAAATGGTACCTATTACCTTTTTAGCTCCTGAGTTCCCTAGTCAGGAACTGTGACTATCATTACATCAGTTTCCCTAAAAGATTCACCAAAAGGCCCTAAGATGCCTTCAGTTCTTATGATCGAGTCACCTTTTGGTTTGAAATTCTACCGTTTCACCCGGCAACACGTTGAATCCCAGTCTTGAGAACTGGTTGATCAGACAAGCCCGAGACAAGTTAGTAGAAAGCAGAGCCCCAGGATGGTGTGCAGGGGGAGACGCAGATTAATAGGTTTGGCAAGCATAATAGGGGATGCCCAGTTATAATTTCAGTGTAAGTACATCCCATGCGATGTAGAAAACATAGTTCTACTAAAAAGTCGTTTGATGTTTATCTGACATTCAAATCTAACTGGTCATCCTGTACTGTTACGTGCTAAATCTGGCAAAGTTAACACAGAATGCATCCATGAAGATCAGAGGGGGTTTTGTTCAGGTAGGAGAATACAAACCATGAGTCTTGTGGGGGACAAGTGGGGAGCTGCACAGCGGGCCTCGAAAGAACCTGGACGGACCTGGAACACACGGCCACGAAGGCACCAAGGAAATAACAAGCCAGGAATGAGGCTATTCTGGTTGAAGTCCAGGCTCCCATCAACTCACTATGTCCACCTGAGCTAGTTCTACCTCAGCCTACCCATTTGAAAAAGGAGTGGATTTCACTAGATCAGTCTTGTTCATGCTGGGGTTCCCACATCCCTCGGGATACAGGAAGATTTTCCAGGGGGTGCCCAGGCACAGAGGGGTTTAAAACATTGTATCCTGCCGGGCGCGGTGGCTCACGCCTGTAATCCTAGCACTTTGGGAGGACGAGGCGGGCGGATTGCTCAAGGTCAGGAGTTCGAAACCAGCCTGAGCGAGACCCCGTCTCTACCAAAAATAGAAATAAATTAATTGGCCAACTAAAAATATATATACAAAAAATTAGCCGGGCATGGTGGCTCATGCCTGTAGTCCCAGCTACTCGGGAGGCTGAGGCAGTAGGATCGCTGAGCCCCGGAGATTGAGGTTGCTGTGAGCCAGGCTGACGCCACGGCACTCACTCTAGCCTGGGCAACAAAGTGAGACTCTGTCTCAAAAAAAAAAAAAAAAAACCATTGTATCCTTACTCTTCAAAGCCACATTCACTTTTTCCTGAAGGTGACCTGCCTAAGAATGATTCATCCTGAAATTCTCCTTTTCTATCTCTCTTTCATTCTTTCTTTTTCTTTTTTTTTAAAAAAAGGTGTATTTCTTACCTATCTCTCGCATGCATTCAAACTGTAAAGCAGAGGTCCTCAAACCTTTTAAACAGGAGGCCAGTTCACTGTTCCTTAGACCGTTGGAGGGCCGGACTATAGTTTTAAAAAAAGCTATGAACAAATTCCTATGCAGTCTGCACATATTATTATTTTGAAGTAAATATTACTTATTTTGAAGTAAAAAAACAAATGGGCAAAAACACCCGCGTGTGGCCCACAGGCCATGGTTTGAGGGCGCCTGCTGTAAAAACTTCTGAATCCCAAAGGAGCAGCTTGAGGATGCATTTTCCTGAGGCTGCGTCCCTGAGAGCCACGCAGAGGAAGTGCGGGAGGGAAACACCAAGGTTCGGCGCTTTGTGTGATTCAGGCGACAAACTCTTAGCTGCTCTGCCTTTAGTTCTCTAGCCTAGAAGTAGAACTCAGAACTGTGATGGTTGTCAGAGGGATACCGTGTTTCCCCGAAAATAAGACCTACCCACAAACTACGCCCTAGCAGGATTTCTAAGCATCTGGGCAATATAAGCCCTACCCCGAAAATAGACCCAGTGACGGGCGTGGCTACGCAGCGTATCTGCACAACCCATGCATTTCGTCCTCTGCCCCATGAGAGCTCTATAGCTCGACATGAGAGATTGGGGCCGATGGTTCTAAAGGAAATAGAGTTCCAAGAAATTCAGGATGGAATTCGGGGTTTGGAAAGTTGTGATGATGTTCCAGAAGAAGATGATTTAACTATATTTGAATAAATGTAGATTGTTGTACCGTACTTTGAAAAAATAACACATCCCCTGAAAATAAGCCCTAGGGTGTCTTCTCGAGGAAAAATAAATATAAGACTCTGTCTTATTTTCGGGGAAACACGGTATATATTAAAAACTTTCATTTGAATTGAAAAATGATACCAGCCTTTTGTGGAAGAAAGTGAGTCTGATTTGGCTGATTGAGGACTGACTTTCCCAATTAGTTAAATCTGTGGCATTCAGTTTTTTTTTTTTTTTTTTAGACAGAGTCTCACTTTGTTGTCCAGGCTAGAGTGAGTGCCATGGCGTCAGCCTAGCTCACAGCAACCTCAAACTCCTGGGCTCAAGCGATCCTCCTGCCTCAGCCTCCCGAGTAGCTGGGACTACAGGCATGCGCCACCATGCCCGGCTAATTTTTTATATATATATATCAGTTGGCCAATTAATTTCTTTCTATTTATAGTAGAGGCGGGGTCTTGCTCTTGCTCAGGCTGGTTTTGAACTCCTGACCTTGAGCAATCCGCCCGCCTCGGCCTCCCAGAGAGCTAGGATTACAGGCGTGAGCCACCGCGCCCGGCCCAGTTTTAAAAAAAAAAAAACAATTTAAGTATGCAATAAGATAAAAGCATTTTAAAAAAAAATGTATTTCACAAAATGGGCTGGGCACAGTGGCTCACGCTTGTAATCCTAGCACTTTGGGAAGCTAAGGTGGGAGGATTGCTTGAGGCCAAACATTTTAGAAGAGCCAGGGCAACAAAGTGAGACTCCGTCTCTACATAAAATTTTCAAAAAATCAGTGTGGTGGCATGAGCCTGTGGTCCCCGCTACTCAGGAGGCTGAGGCAGGAGGACCACTGAAGCTCAGGAGTTTGAGGTTGCTGTGTGTACCACGGTCACCAGCATGGTCACCATGCTGTGCAGTAGGTCTCAGAAACTGATCTCTCCTGTCTAACTGAAACTTGGCACCTTGGACCAACATCTCCCCTTTCCCCATACACCACCCCCAGCCTCTGGTACCCACTGTTCTACTCTCTACTTCTGTAAGTTCAACTTTCTTAGAGTCCACATAAAAGTGAGATCATGTGCTATTTGTCTTTCTGTGCCCGGCTTATTTCACTTAGTATAATAGCCTTCAGGTTTGCCCATGTTGTTGCAAATGACAGAATTTCCTTCTTTTTAGGGGCTGAATAGTATTCCATCATCAATATACACCACATTTTTATCCAGCCACTTGTTGTTTGACACTCAGGTTGATTCCATATCCTGGCTATTGTGAATAATGCTACAATGGACACACGAGTGCAGATGTGTCTTTGACATGCTGATTTCATTTCTTTGGATATATATCCAGATGGAGGGTTGGTGAATTATATGGCAATTCTATTTTTATTTTGTTGAGGAATCTCTATACTGTTCTCCATAATAGCTGTAGTAATTTATATTCCCACCAACAGTGTGCAAGTGTTCCCTTTTCTCCACGTCCTTGCCAACACTCGTCATCTTTTATCTTTGGTGACACCCATTCTAACAGATGCCAGGTGGTATCTCATTGTGATTTTAATTTGCATTTCTCTAATGATTAGTGATGTTGGGCATTTTCTCATAAACTAATTGGCCATTTGTATATCTTCTTTAAGAAATGTCTATTCAAATCTGTTGCCCATTTAAAAAATTGAGTTACTTGTTTTGTTGCTATTGAGTTGTTTGAATTCCTTAGATACTTTTAATATTAACTTCTTATCAGATGTATGGTTTGCAAATATTTTCTTCTACTCTGTGAATTGTCTCTTCACTCTGTTGATTGTTTCCTTCACTGTGCAGAAGCTTTTTAGTTTAATGCAGTCTCATTTGTCTACTTTTGCTTCTGTTGTAGTTTCAGGATCATATCCAAAAAAATCATTGCCCAGACCAAAATCACAGAGCTTTCCTGTTATGTGTTCTTCTAGTTTTATAGTTTCAGTCATTACAGTTAGATCTTTAGCCCATTTTTATTTATTTTTTTATATGGTGTAAGACAAGAGTCCAGTTTCATTTTTCTGCACACTGATA